TTGAAGTTTGACATCACTACCGGTGACCGAATTTTACAAAATGGCGTGTTGACTGTCAACAGTGCGCGGGATTTTACGAGGGGACTTTCGTTGATTCAGGGTTCGTATATACATAAATGTGACATGTAAGTAATCAGAAACATTCTGACAATTTGTGTACTGTATTTTGTTGCTGTATTTTTCATTGAAACCAACGAAAATAGTCAGAAATTCTGATAAATACTGTTGTCGTTGTGATTTTGCGTCAGTCATGGCGTCACAAAGGACGGGAACTTCGACAAGTTCTGTTGAAAATATCAAATTATTGCAATGTATATATGTTTAATTCCCTAATTCTTCCTACGATTCTCTTCCCGTGTATATTCTGAAAATGCAGATCTCGAGCCAATGTACTCAACGAATAGACGAATGGCTTTGTTTACATTTCCAACAAGTGCAGTTTTTTCAGCGTTCGTTTTCACACCTCATTTATTTTGCTTCATTACATCTAGACAATTTGTATTGGTGACAAAGACCATTTGGCATTTGATTCTAAAATGTATGAGGAATTCAAGGATGTAGGTATCGCAGCTGAAATATACGTGATGGTATTTGCGTCTCATTACCGGTGTACGTTATTACCAAAATCACAATCACCATAGCAACGACAGAACGTTCGATGTTGACGCCTCACAACCGAGTAAGTACGAGGTGTTAAAGAGTGCGCATGTTTTTTTCTAAATAAAACAATAGGTTTACAATATCGATAAATACTATGTGTGTGTCTATTTCCGGGATTTTATCGAGTATTTGCATCTTGGTAATTTTCATTCGAGCCCCTCAAGCTAACGCTTTCGGGTCTCGAGATGAATTTCTAAGATGCAAATACTCGATAAAATCCCGGAAATAGACACACACATAGTATTTATCTTCTAAATAATCAATGATCAACTGTTCACATAACAACTTGAACAGTGCAAATACGACAAAGGGAGCCCAATAAATCAATCATGTGGTGAGTGATGTGTGTTGCATTTACCGTTGTATCGTGTAAAATGAATTGCTTAGGTTTTCCTTATCGATTCAGTGCATGTATATGCGGTTTAATGTAATACATGGAAACATTTGCTGTTGGGCATTAGATACCTGAGAGGTTGAAATAGACATGTTTTATGCTTCCGTAGAACAATCAAGTACCTGAGGAAATAAAGTACCATTTCATAAGCACGTTTGCAGTCGGATAAAAAGCCGCAGAAAGATTAGTGTTCGAAGTATATGTGTACCGTACACTATCTAAAATGTGTACGGGATAAATTATAAGGATTCGTTTTATGTATTTAATGATGAACATGACCCTTTTCGTATTACATGATACATTATCCCACGGCCTTGTAACGATACATCTTCCATTGCCTCTGTTCTGCTTATAAACAACATAATGGGATTGAAAAACACTATAATATATCGAGAATCTGTGCGAAATATAAAAACAAAACACCCACTCACATTTTCTTTGTTTGAGTGTATATACAATATCTTGTGAGGAGTTCAGCTGACTTATGTACACACAGGCAAATGTGTCTCCTTTACATTTTGAGGTACATCCGACATCTTGAAGGAATTCATCAAACACATGTACAAACTGACAAATGTGTCTCCTTTACACGATGAGGTATATGCGATAACTTCTGAGGCGTTCATCTGACACATGTACACACAGATAAATGTGTCTTTTTTTCCTTATGAGGTATGTACGGCCAACTTGAGAGGAGCTCAGCTGACATTCAAATTTGTTTCCTATTTGTATGTGTTCTTTTCCATATTCGATAGATTGTATTTCGGAAACATCCACATAATAACGTACCTGTACTATAGCCTACAACAAAATATTATAATCTTTAGAAACAACTAGATGTGATAACGTTTGGGGTTATATTCACATTATTGATAACAATCAATTAATCAATGCACCAATTTCAACCTCGAAAAGGAAATGACGTCAGCAGCTGTTTATAGATACTCCGTCATAACCGAATTGGTTTGAACAGTATTTGTATTATATTACGCCGTGTCAGTTTAATGTTGGAGGAGGGGGCACGGGTGGACCAGTCGTCTAAGACGCCGCGATTCGCTGTGCAGAGTTGCGTCCCTTGGGCACGCCAGAAACCTATGATTGTGGGTTCGAATCCCGGTTCGCCCCGATTATGTTTCTAGGTTTGTCAGCACCATACCCGTGCTCGTGGGTTTCACCGAAGTGGTAAACGTCTGAGACCTGCATGACTTCGGTCTTTCCTCCCACATTAAGCTGACACGCCGCGATATAACTGGAATACTGTTTAAAGCGGCGTTAAACCCAACTCACTCACTCACTAATGTCGGAGGAAAAGTGATGCAGCTCTTAGGTGTTTTCCACTTTGGAGAAACTAAGGAACACTGGTGCCAACAAAAATATAATTATGTTGGAGATTCGAACCCACGATCATCAGATTCAAAGACGAGTAAGAGACGCAACATTTACAGGTCATTTGGTGAAGGAGAATGATTTCTCAAACTATAGCGACGTGGGAGTGTTATCTGATAAAATGAACAGTCATAAGATGACAACTGCAACTGTTTGTTTGTTGTTTAAAGTCGCACTCAGCAATATTCCATCTGTATGATGTCGGTCTGGAAACAATCAAATCTGTACTAGACAATCCTGTGATTAACATCATGAGCATCGATCCACGCAATTGGGATAAGATGACATGCATCAAGCAAGTCAACGAGCCTGACAACCCGATCCCGATAGTCGCCTCTCACGATAAGCACGGATTGCTGAGGACCAAGTCGAAGCCGCGGAATCTTCACGGGAATAACTGCAGTTGTAAACTCAAAATCAAAAGAGCTAAACACATTTGACAAATCAGGAGCGGAACATGTGACTGAATAAAACAGGCCATAAGGAAGAGGTCCACAATAATGTCACCTTCCACTCACACGTCAAGTAATGGAGGAGTATACACGTTGTCTTAGTGGTAAAATCTTTGCTCGTTTACGTCGGATTTCCTATATGGGTATAATATGTACATGTAGAGCCCAGATCTTGTGTCCCTCACAGTGATGTTCCTCGAATATCTCGAACAGAAACGCCAAACGTAACTCACTCACTCTGCATAAAGTCAGACAACATCCATTACAACATCATCTTCTCGAGGCAAGAGAGTTAACTGACTTTAAAAGTCCAGTTTCGACTCTTGCCGAACTAGGCTGGTGGCTAGTGACTATTTCGAGTTATGTCCGCGTTTGCATTGTTTGGGGCGTGTCACAAACAATTGATGGTAGTTTCGAATCCTGTCTGACTCTGAATCTGTTTCGTTGTTTGTCATCACCCTACTCTTGCTCATATGCGATTTAAGACCTGAATTACTTCGGACCTTCCTCCTTCATACTGTTCGAAGCGGCGTAAAAACAAACTCACTCAGTCAATGTAAAAGGCATGTTTGCAATTACATACATGTTAGTGCACAACATCTCTATTACACATGACATGAAATGACAGTTTTAACGGAGTTACCTCCCTTACACTGAGCCGATGCCCACATAACACGTGGTTCTGGGGGGAAATGCGTTGTATCGTTTTCTATGGTCTTTATGACTCTGGGTATATGTTCGTATGTGTGTTTAATATCGTACATGATCGATTGCAATATGTACCCAAATAAATACGTCAGGTGTGTGATGTTATGATGCGTGTACTTCCTGTTGATGTGGTCAAACAGACTCTTCACAAGTTTGTTTGATTGTTTGGATGTACATCATACAAGCAATATGCCAAAACAGAAATCAATGTCAACGGACGATTAATGATATCAATAGAATGATATTGTGACGACAATAAATGTTCCCTCAGAACCGATCATCATTGTATGTTATCAGCTCTCCGTTTGGAATTGATTGAAACAACATTTTGCAGTTGAGTCGTGTGACTCAATATATTTATATATTATGACGACAATAAATGTTCGCTTTGAACTAATCATGATTGAATGTTATCAGTTCTGTTTGGATTAAATTGAAACGTCATGTTGAAGTATAACCTCATTTCAAATAGGTTGTGTGCACATTCTTTATTATTAAAATAATACATAGCTTATAAGTTTAGATTTTAATATCTATAAGATAATAATAACAATAATAACAATAATAATACTAATAATAAAATAATAATAATAATAATAGTAATAATGATAATAATAATAATAACAATAATAATAATACTAATACTAATAATAAAATAATAATAATGATAATAATAATAATAACAATAATAATAATAATAATAATAATAATAAAATAATAATAATAATAATAATAATAACAACAACAACAACAACAATAATAATAATAATAATAATATGCTTTACAAACTAATTTTGAATGAGGGTGAATAATTGAATCATTTTGGTATTATATTGAAAGAAAGAAATTGTCCACGAAGATTCTTGAAAAAAATAATTATGCTTCACACTGGTGAAAATAATAAAATTGCCTGCCACAAAAATTACATTATTGCAATGTGTCTTCTTTAAGAAAATCAGGCTCATAGTTCTAAATAAAAAATATATATCTGGTTTGGTGGCTGTAGCTGAAAATAGATAATCTCGACACAAAATCCAAGCACCCCCAGCACATCCCGTTCACCGCCCCACCCCCGCGAATATCAAATGGTCAGTCGCTGAGCTTCACGAGGCGAATAGCGTGTCTTTAAACGACACCACTACTCATTCCCCTTTCATAAGGCAGCTCGGGTATGGAAGTGATAAACCTACAACCATTATTATGCCACGTACATGGGGCGCCACTCTGTACGGCAAAATTCGACGCTTTAGACGACTAGGCCCGTCGTTATCCAAGTTGTGAAAAGGGTTTACCATTTGACACCACAAACGCAATGTGCCAACTGTAACCAATGCATCTCCTACATAACAAGCATCTCTCATTAATAATGCACTCTGTTATATACGACACACACGTACTTGTTAGACATATGTTATTTGTAAACAAAGAACGTTTTATTACAATGATATGCAAAGTTCATAACTGGTTCATAAAGAAGCATATAAGGATGTAAAATCAAAATCAACTTCACAATCTACAAACTAAACAAGTAATTGAAAACACATTACTATAAACACGTAACTGATATAATATTTCCAAAAATAAACAATAGTCCTTTTTCATAAAATAACGGCTGCATAACACAATACAAAGAGGCAGTGTTGATCAATTATACTTCGTCATAAAACAACAATAGTAATGCGCTGATTTGCACAGTATGCAGACCGTGTTTTGAATGGATATTTCTCCATGAAAGTAAAACTAATAGAAGGAAATTCTTAAATGTTGGTGAAAACATATAATGATAGTTTTTACTTAGTCTTACATGTAGTTTTGAAATGAGAGCTAATATCAGTCTGTGTATGTTAAATTCTGTGTATGTCATTTAAAAATGAAACAATTAGGTATATAAATAGAAATACTTGGGGTGGGTGGGTAGATTTTCTTTTAGAATAGATTTTACAACACATACGTCGTATTTCATATTCGATACATATTTGCAGTTGTGATAAAAATATAACAACGAACTGAACCAATACATAATAATAACATTATGAATAAAACAACTAGAACGACGAGGAAACATATATACAGCAAACATATATATATAATAAATAATAAAATAATAATAAAGTCCACGTTAGTCCATCATCTTCTTTATATCAGTTTCAGACATAGTACTTTCGTTGTCTCATGACACCGAGTGAACATTTACCTCATTTCATATATATATACGAAACACATAAAAAATATCTATTTCACACCTGACTCTTGAGATGGAAAACCTAATGATAAATCGTAACATTCAGTAAAACTATGCAAAACATCGTGTGTTTGTTTGTGTGTGTGTTGTTTAACGCCGCAATCTAGGTAACTGGGATAAGATGACATGCATCAACCAAGTCAGTGCACCTGACCACCCGATCCTCCCGATAGTCGCCTTTTATGTCAAGCATAGTCACCTTTTTCGACAAGCATGGGTTGCTGAAGACCTACTCTAAAGCAAATGAGGTTCAGTGCTGTTCACTAGTTGCATGTACATATAGTGTTGGAATACCCGACAGCCGATATTGACTTGAAACTTGTGGTGACTGGTTCGTTTCAACTGAACATATGCAACGTGGGGTTATTGACATTCACCGAACCTTTAAACCAAGAAAGCAATGCTTAAATGTAGTCAGCGAGTTGCCATTTCATTAACGGCATGGTTGTGAGCTTTGTATAATAAAATACAGGGCACCAAAAATATGTGTTCGAATAAGCTGATTCTTTTGAGAGATACGTTTAGTCTTGTCCAGAAAGAAGATTGTGGTGTATCAAGACCAAGTGCTACTTCGGGTCTTCCAGCCTGTACATATGACTCAATGACTATCTTTAAACGATCTCCGCGTTACCTAACTATGTACGAAAAACGAGATATTATGTTCGTTTTATTTCTATATATCAATGATTGCTGAGTCAATATGTGTACCAATTTCTTATTTTCTTGTGAAGAGTCAAAACGTGAAGGCAAAATCATATCTCGTCGTCGCTTGTTCTGCAAAGACACGCGGCAATAGTGATCCCGATTATCTGAAAATAATCAAAACAAGAACTTACTTCAATGTTTCGGAAGTATAACCTGTGTCAGTCCTTAAACAATTATCATTTACTTAAAACTATTTCAAAATCACTATGTGATCTTTTAGAATGTCTATGATATATATAGATTAACATATTTACCTTCTACGAATTAGGACGTTTCTTCACCCGACTTATTGCCTGTGTGTTGCCATAATCATTTTCAAAATACATCACAATGTAGGAATTTGCAAATGTTTTTCGTAAGTGATTGTTTTACTCGCATCATTGTTTAAATATTGCGAGGATACCTCTGCGGATCGCGGCAAGATTGCTATGCGGCGTTAAAGAATAGTCACTCACTCGCATTCACGTTTGGATGATTAAAGAGCAGAACGATGACTCGAGTATCCTTGCAAATGAGGGTACATTTAGATTTCCAGAGATACTCACTGTGATGGCAATGATGACCGCCTCCACGATGAGCAGCACCGTGCTGTACTGCATCACGGTATCCTTCAGCTTCGTGAAACATCCCTGTCAGATGTACAGACAAATAGGGTACATTGTTTATGTGTCGCCATTTATGTGTAATTTATAGTTGTGGCTAGGTTTCCGTTTAAGTTGTAGCGTGTCATGCTGATCTTACTAAATGAGTGTAGTGTGCAAAATAAGTATGATGCACACATGAATATATAAACACATCGTCATACAGAGAAGTACAGAAGAAGTTGATTCTTCTTTTAGAAAGAAACTAAGAGTAGCCAGGGGACACCAACAAAGAAAGGTCACGTCGTCGTTATATATTAAGACGACACTAGTATTACGTCAACAATGGTATCTGTATGGTGCCAAAAATTCGTCTGAAATAATACTCATTCGTCTCGTGCGGAGGGACTTTTAATACTCATATGGGTAACAAATAGATAAACGACACAAACACTAGTGAATAGTTTGGTGAATGTTCATTTAGTTTTGACCCTAAGTGTCCTGTCAGCTTAGTACAGGGTGGCATTCTAAGTATATGCACGTTGCTGTTCATGACTGACCAAGGATCACTATCAGCCAGCGAATCCGGCAAGCTCCTCACAGTGATAGCCCGTTCGCGGAGCTCTCTATACTATCGCTGCAACCAGTCAAAACTCCCCACTGTGAAAGGTGGCCCCAACCATGCTTGGAGTTGAACTCGCAACCGAATGACCGTTATGTTTACAAACACGTGACGCACGTCGTGACGCCGAATGCACTTACCGCTGCTAAATTACGTTTCTTTGTTTGTCATTTTGAACTATTATTTTATTATAACTATCATGTAATTGATATTGTAAGAATGTAAGGGAGAAGTTGGTTGGTTTTCCGTTAATCTGCAATCTCGAACCAATCTGATTATACAAACAACAAAGTAAATTCATCTGGAAAACATGGTCAGTCGCCAAGGCTCGCTAAATACAATGTTTATTCCTAATGCAGGATATTTACCATCCCCAAACACACTCGTGTGATAACCTCTATTATAATTATGTGTTTGTTAGTGTGTATATGCTTCATCGCGTGTTTGTTAGTGTGTATATGCTTCATTATGTGTTTGTTAGTGTGTATATGCTTCATTATGTGTTTGTTAGTGTGTATATGCTTCATCGCGTGTTTGTTAGTGAGTTTATGCTTCATGATGTGTTTGTTAGTGTGTATATGCTTCATGATGTGTTTTTTTACAGTGCAAATGATCCATGATGTGTTTGTTAGTGTGTATATGCTTCATTATGTGTTTGTTAGTGTGTATATGCTTCATAATGTGTTTGTAAGTGTGTATATACTTTATTATGTGTTTGTTAGTGTGCATATGTTTCAGTATATGTTTGTTAGTGTGTACATGCTTCATGATGTGTTTGTTAGTGTGTATATGTTTCATTATGTGTTTGTTAGTGTTTATAAGAATTATGATGTGTTTGTAAGTGTGTATATGCTTCATGATGTGTTTGTTACTGTGCATATGATCCATGATGTGTTTGTAAGTGTGTATATGCTTCATCATGTGTTTGTTAGTGTGTATATGCTTCATAATGTGTTTGTTTCTGTGCATATGCTTCAGGATGTGCTTGTTTGTGTGTATATGCTTCATAATGTGTTTGTAAGTGTGTATATGCTTCATTATGAGTTTGTTAGTGGGTATATGATCCATCATGTGTTTGTTAGTGTGTATATGCTTCATGATGTGTTTTTTAGTGTGTATATGCTTCATAATGTGTTTGTAAGTGTGTATATGCTTTATTATGAGTTTGTTAGTGGGTATGTGCTTCATTATGTGTTTGAAAGTGTGTATATGCTTCCTGACGTGTTTTTTACTGTGCATATGATCCATGATGTGTTTGTTAGTGTGTATATGCTTCATTATGAGTTTGTTAGTGTGTATATGATCCATGATGTGTTTGTAAGTGTGTATATACTTCATTTTGTGTTTGTTAGTGTGCATATGTTTCAGTATGTGTTTGTTAGTGTGTATATGCTTCATAATGTGTTTTTTACTGTGCATATGATCCATGATGTGTTTGTTAGTGTGTATATGCTTCATAATGTGTTTTTTACTGTGCATATGATCCATCATGTGTTTGTTTCTGTGCATATGCTTCAGGATGTGCTTGTTGGTGTGTATATGCTTCATAATGTGTTTGTAAGTGTGTATATGCTTCATTATGAGTTTGTTAGTGGGTATATGATCAATCATCTGTTTGTTAGTGTGTATATGCTTCATGATGTGTTTGTTAGTGTGTATATGCTTCATAATGTGTTTGTAAGTGTGTATTTGCTTTATTATGAGTTTGTTAGTGGGTATGTGCTTTATTATGTGTTTGTTAGTGTGTATATGCTTTATTATGAGTTTTTTAGTGTGTATATGCTTCATGATGTGTTTTTTACTGTGCATATGATCCATGATGTGTTTGTTAGTGTGTATATGCTTCATGATGTGTTTTTTACTGTGCATATGATCCATGATGTGTTTGTTAGTGTGTATATGCTTCATGATGTGTTTTTTACTGTGCATATGATCCTTGATGTGTTTGTTAGTGTGTATATGCTTCATTATAAGTTTGTTAGTGGGTATATGATCCATGATGTGTTTGTTAGTGTGTATATGCTTCATAATGTGTTTGTAAGTGTGTATTTGCTTTATTATGAGTTTGTTAGTGGGTATGTGCTTTATTATGTGTTTGTTAGTGTGTATATGCTTTATTATGAGTTTGTTAGTGTGTATATGCTTCATGATGTGTTTTTTATTGTGCATATGATCCATGATGTGTTTGTTAGTGTGTATATGCTTCATGATGTGTTTTTTACTGTGCATATGATCCTTGATGTGTTTGTTAGTGTGTATATGCTTCATTATAAGTTTGTTAGTGGGTATATGATCCATGATGTGTTTGTTAGTGTGTATATGCTTCATGATGTGTTTGTAAGTGTGTATATCCTTCATTATGAGTTTGTTAGTGGGTATATACTTCATTATGTGTTTGCAAGTGTGTATATGCTTCATAATGTGTTTGTTAGTGTGTATATGCTTCATAATGTGTTTGTTAGTGTGTATATGCTTTATTATGTGTTTGTTAGTGTGTATATGCTTTATTATGTGTTTGTTAGTGTGTATATGCTTCATGATGTGTTTGTAAGTGTGTATATCCTTCATTATGAGTTTGTTAGTGGGTATATACTTCATTATGTGTTTGCAAGTGTGTATATGCTTCATAATGTGTTTGTTAGTGTGTATATGCTTCATAATGTGTTTGTTAGTGTGTATATGCTTTATTATGTGTTTGTTAGTGTGTATATGCTTCATAATGTGTTTGTTAGTGTGTATATGCTTCATAATGTGTTTGTTAGTGTGTATATGCTTTATTATCTGTTTGTTAGTGTGTATATGCTTTATTATGTGTTTGTTAGTGTGTATATGCTTCATGATGTGTTTGTTAGTGTGTATATGCTTTATTATGAGTTTGTTAGTGGGTATGTGCTTCATTATGTGTTTGAAAGTGTGTATTTGCTTCATGATGTGTTTTTTACTGTGCATATGATCCATGATGTGTTTGTTAGTGTGTATATGCTTCATTATAAGTTTGTTAGTGGGTATATGATCCATGATGTGTTTGTTAGTGTGTATATGCTTCATGATGTGTTTGTAAGTGTGTATATCCTTCATTATGAGTTTGTTAGTGGGTATATACTTCATTATGTGTTTGCAATTGTGTATATGCTTCATAATGTGTTTGTTAGTGTGTATATGCTTCATTATGTGTTTGTTAGTGTTTTTGTGCTTCATGGTGTGTTTGTTAGTGTGTATATGCTTCATGATGTGTTGGTAAGTGAGTATATGCTTCATTATGAGTTTGTTAGTGTGTATATGCTTCATGATGTGTTGGTAAGTGAGTATATACTTCATTATGAGTTTGTTAGTGTGTATATGCTTCATTATGTGTTTGTTAGTGTGTATATGCTTCATGATGTGTTGGTAAGTGAGTATATGCTTCATTATGAGTTTGTTAGTGTGTATATGCTTCATGATATGTTCGTTAGTGTGTATATGCTTCATGATGTGTTGGTAAGTGAGTATATGCTTCATTATGAGTTTGTTAGTGTGTATATGCTTCATGATATGTTTGTTAGTGTGTATATGCTTCATGATGTGTTGGTAAGTGAGTATATGCTTCATTATGAGTTTGTTAGTGTGTATATGCTTCATTATGTGTTTGTTAGTGTGTATATGCTTCATGATGTGTTGGTAAGTGAGTATATGCTTCATTATGAGTTTGTTAGTGTGTATATGCTTCATTATGTGTTTGTTAGTGTGTATATGCTTCATGATGTGTTGGTAAGTGAGTATATGCTTCATTATGAGTTTGTTAGTGTGTATATGCTTCATTATGTGTTTGTTACTGTGCATATGCTTCATAATGTGTTTGTTAGTGTGTATATGCTTCATGATGTGTTTGTTAGTGTGTATATGCTTCATGATGTGTTTGTAAGTGTGTTTATGCTTCCTTATGAGTTTGTTAGTGGGTACATACTTCATTATGTGTTTGTTAATGTGCATAAGCATCATGATGTGTTTGTTTGTTTGTATATGCTTCATGATGTGTTTGTAAGTGTGTATATGCTTCATAATGTCTTTGTTAGTGTGCATAAGCACCATGATGTGTTTGTTTGTTTGTATATGCTTCATGATGTGTTTGTAAGTGTGTATATGCTTCATAATGTCTTTGTTAGTGTGTATATGCTTCATTATGTGTTTGTTAGTTTGTTTATGCTTCATGGTGTGTTTTTTACTGTGCATATGATCCATGATGAGTTTGTTAGTGTGTATATGCTTCATTATGTGTTTGTAAGTGTGTATATGCTTCATAATGTGTTTGTTAGTGTGTATATGCTTCATTATGTGTTTGTTAGTGTTTTTATGCTTCATGGTGTGTTTGTTAGTGTGTATATGCTTCATGATGTGTTGTTTACTTTGCATATGGTCCATGATGTGTTTGTAAGTGTGTATATGCTTCATTATGAGTTTGTTAGTGTGTATATGATCCATGATGTGTTTGTTAGTGGGTATATGCTTCATAATGTGTTTGTTAGTGTGTATATGCTTCATTATGAGTTTGTTAGTGTGTATATGCTTCATAATGTCTTTGTTAGTGTGCATAAGCATCATGATGTGTTTGTGTGTTTGTATATGCTTCATGATGTGTTTGTAAGTGTGTATATGCTTCATAATGTCTTTGTTAGTGTGTATATGCTTCATTATGTGTTTGTTAGTTTGTATATGCTTCATGGTGTGTTTTTTACTGTGCATATGATCCATGATGAGTTCGTTAGTGTGTATATGCTTCATTATGTGTTTGTAAGTGTGTATATGCTTCATAATGTGTTTGTTAGTGCGTATATGCTTTATTGTTTGTTTGTTTGTTAGTGTTTTTATGCTTCATGGTGTGTTTGTTAGTGTGTATATGCTTCATGATGTGTTTTTTACTGTGCATATGATCCATGATGTGTTTGTTAGTGTGTATATGCTTGATTATGTGTTTGTAAGTGTGTATATGCTTCATTATGAGTTTGTTAGTGTGTAAATGCTTCATGATGTGCTTGTTAGTGTGTATATGCTTCATGATGTGTTGGTAAGTGTGTATATGCTTCATTATGAGTTTGTAAGTGTGTATATGCTTCATTATGTGTTTGTTACTGTGCATATGCTTCATAATGTGTTTGTTAGTGTGTATATGCTTCATCATGAGTTTGGTAGTGGGTATATGCTTCATTATGTGTTTGAAAGTGTGTATATGCTTCATTATGAGTTTGTTAGTGGGTATATACTTCATTATGTGTTTGTTAGTATGCATAAGCATCATTATGTGTTTCTTTGTTTGTATATGCTTCATGATGTGTTTGTAAGTGTGTATATGCTTCATAATGTCTTTGTTAGTATGCATAAGCCTCATGATGTGTTTGTGTGTTTGTGTATGCTTCATGATGTGTCTGTAAGTGTGTATATGTTTCATAATGTCTTTGTTAGTGTGTATATGCTTCATTATGTGTTTGTAAGTGTGCTTATGCTTCATAATGTGTTTGTTAGTGTGTATATGCTTCATTGTGTGTTTGTTAGTGTTTGTATGCTTCATTATGTGTTTGTTAGTGTGTATATGCTTCATGGTGTGTTTTTTACTGTGCATATGATCCAAGATGAGTTTGTTAGTGTGTATATGCTTCATTATGTGTTTGTAAGTGTGCTTATGCTTCATAATGTGTTTGTTAGTGTGTATATGCTTCATTGTGTGTTTGTTAGTGTTTTTATGCTTCATTATGTGTTTGTTAGTGTGTATATGCTTCATGATGTGTTTTTTACTGTGCATGTGATCCATGATGTGTTTGTAAGTGTGTATATGCTTCATTATGAGTTTGTTAGTGTGTAGATGCTTCATGATGTGTTTGTTAGTGTGTATATGCTTCATGATGTGTTGGTAAGTGTGTATATGCTTCATTATGAGTTTGTTAGTGTGTATATGGTTCATTATGTGTTTGTTAATGTGCATATGCTTCATAATGTGTTTGTTAGTGTGTATATGCTTCATTATGAGTTTGTTAGTGGGTATATGCTTCATTATGTGTTTGAAAGTGTGTATTTGCTTCATGGTGTGTTTGTTAGTGTGTATATGCTTCATGATGTGTTTTTTACTTTGCATATGATCCATGATGTGTTTGTAAGTGTGTATATGCTTCATTATGAGTTTGTTAGTGTGTATATGATCCATGATGTGTTTGTTAGTGGGTATATGCTTCATAATGTGTTTGTTAGTGTGTATATGCTTCATTATGTGTTTGTTACTGTGCATATGCTTCATAATGTGTTTGTTAGTGTGTATATGCTTCATTATGTGTTTGTTAGTGTGTATATGCTTCATGATGTGTTTGTAAGTGTGTATATGCTTCATTATGAGTTTGTTAGTGGGTACATACTTCATTATGTGTTTGTTAATGTGCATAAGCATCATGATGTGTTTGTTTGTTTGTATATGCTTCATGATGTGTTTGTAAGTGTGTATATGCTTCATAATGTCTTTGTTAGTGTGCATAAGCATCATGATGTGTTTGTTTGTTTGTATATGCTTCATGATGTGTTTGTAAGTGTGTATATGTTTCATAATGTCTTCGTTAGTGTGTATATGCTTCATTATGTGTTTGTTAGTTTGTATATGCTTCATGGTGTGTTTTTTTACTGTGCATATGATCCATGATGAGTTTGTTAGTGTGTATATGCTTCATTATGTGTTTGTAAGTGTGTATATGCTTCATTATGTGTTTGTTAGTGTGTATAAGTATCATGATATGTTTGTTTGTGTGTATATGTTTCATTATGTGCTTGTTAGTTTGGACATGCTTCATGATGTGTTTGTTAGTGTGTATATGCTTCATAATGTGTTTGTTAGTGTGTATATGCTTCATTATGTGTGTGTTAGTGTGCATAAGCATCATGATGTGTTTGTTTGTGTGTATATGCTTGATAATGTGTTTGTTAGTGTGTATATGTTTCATTATGTGTTTGGTAGTGTGTACATGCTTTATGATGTGTTTGTTAGTGTGTATATGCTTCATAATGTGTTTGTTAGTGTGTATATGCTTCATTGTGTTTGTTAGTGTGTACATGCTTCCTGACGTGATTGTTATTGAGTATAAGCTTCATGACGTGTTTGTTTGGGTGTATAGGCTTAATAATGTGTTTATTAGTGTGTATATGTTTCAAACATGTGTTTGTAAGTGTATGTAAGCTTCATGATGTGTGTGTTAGTCTGTACATGCTTCAACATGTGTTTGTTAGAGTGTAAAGGATTCATGATGTGTTTGCTGGTGTGTATAAGCTGCGTATATGATAGTGTATTTAAGGACAGGAACAGTCCGTGGAGAGTCTAGTCGATTGCATGGGTTGATATGTATAAGTCGTTCAATATCTCCAAGTTAATCTTGAACTGTGTCTGATTGTGAGAGATGTACGAAGGTACGTGACATATAAATATGTATTCCAATAGCTTACCTTTATATTCAAGAATTGACTTTTACCATTCATGTTCTTGGAATCCTCCATGCACGCTTTCTTGTCTTTTGGAACAGGATCTTCCGGATTCTTATCTCCTTTCAACACACAACAGGTAACAGGTACTTTTCCCTGAAAAATGTCAACAGTCCGGTGACATGTCCTGGGGTGTCCTGGGGGTAGTTTCCAGTGTGTTTTCCACTATGGATTAGTTATCTAAACTGTGACTCAAGCTCGCCAAGCATCTTATCTCCTGCTGACCGGCCTCATTAGAGGTAAGTTGGATTAGGCCATTTCATCAGTAGGTATCGTCTTAATTAATCCCCATATCCTCCTTGTGAAAACCTTGCAAAATCGGTGTGTGTGGTAATGGCGTATGTAAGTAATAGAAGGTAACACGTTCCGGACGTCGAAGTAACTTAATGCATTATATCTGTTGTGTGTATCGATTGTTACGTGCTCTTATATGGCTAGAATCGTGCTAAAAGCCGAGTAAGCCTTACTGAGAATGTTTAAAATATCAGTGACGAAAACAGGGATCTTTTTCTCTTTTTCGTGTTTTCAGGTTTTGTAAAGAAAATAATTCTCATGTTTAAAATCATCGTAATGCTTTAGGTTTCATTAACACCCGAGATATTCGTAGAGTTTAAGATGGATGACTCGTTATTTCATATTTCTGAATTCATCATATAAAAGACTATTATGACTAGATATCGTGAACTGATAGGTTAAGTGTTATTCACCACGAATTTCTTTTTTCACAGTATTAAACACCCAAGACACACCCTTGCCAAACGAAAAGCAACATCACGTATGTTGTGTAATATGTTAATGGATACTGGAAGTGATCTTGATCTAAGTTTCATGAAAACATTAAACATTAAACATATATTATACCATTAATAGCGGTCATGCCTTAGAAGATACATCAGCCACCCCAAACTTACATCAGTTTCATTCATGTAGACTGGTGCATAGTCTGTATAGTTGGAAACACCACAGCACTCGAACTATAAAGACAAAGATGTACACATATATTACTGCATGAAAGCACTACTGAAAAGCGGTCTGGTGCTGGACAAAATTCCTTCCTTCGCCGTGGAAAAATCAATCCAGTGATTGATGTTATGAAAAACATTTGTGTTTGTTTGTTGTTTAACGTCGCAATGTTCCACCGATATGAAAGAGGTCTTTGAATAATTGAGTCTGGACCAGACAATCCAGTGATTGATATCATGAGCATCGATCTATGAAGATGGGAGACGATGACATGCATCAACAAAGTTAGCGAGCCTGACCACCCAATCCCGTTAGTCGCCTCTCACGACAAGCATGGGTAGCTGAAAATCAATTCTAATCCGGATCTTCACGGATCAATCTACGGATACAATGGCATCCAATCAACCACATCACCGAGCCTGACAACCTCATCGATCTCTGAATCACCTATGAAAAAATCTATACGTATATACAAAACATCTTCTTCAAGACGGCATATTCAGCAGTTCACTCAGCATATAAAGTTCCTATCCATGGAAGCATTTTCAGCTTTTTTACTGACGTATGGTTATTGACATTCCCATGAGACGTTTTGCTGCGAATAACGTTATGGTTGCATCTCCTTTGGAATTTTGTCTTTATTTATGAATTTTGTCACCACCAATATGCTCAAGTTGTGGTGCCCTTACAATTGTACATTGCTGTCGTAACGGAAGCGGCTGCTCTGAACATTCTCGGGAAAGGAACATATGTAATAATAACTGAGGACTGGAAGTCTTCTTTGAGGAGCAGTATTACTTAGTGAAGCGATGACCAGTTTTGGTATTAAATATGTATGAAGGATATCAAACATAGACCATAAAAAGATGCGATCACTATTTGCTTTCATTTGGGCGGTCTGTATGTGATCCTAAGCATGGCGTTGTTCTCATCACATAACAGTCAATGCTCAGAAAGAACTTACCGTAACCTGAGCATAATCCCAGGGAAGTGTGATCATTGTTCTATCTTTCTCGTATTTGGTCTGCAAGGTTGTGGTAAGGGCGGTTTCAAACGGCTTCACGTCTTTAGACTGGAAGCACACAGATTTTCAATTAGAAAATGTACCAAGAAATATCTATCTTAGGGATTAACCATAATCTTTAATACAATCAAGGAAGGAATTTCTATATATTCATAGAAAATATTTGAGACAAGTGGAAGTAATACCATGTGGATTCACCAAAAAAAAGGATTTGCTGGACTCTTTACAATCTCAGATACATTTGAATATGTGAGATGCTGGCCTCATTAATAACATCTTTGTAACATTTCGGGGAAAGACATTTAGGCAAGAAGTAGGCAACCCCAGGGGGACATATTGTGCTCCACTTCTTGCTGATTGGTGTTTTTATGCATATGAATCGGAATTCTCCTCGGGATGTTCTGATCATGATATCATTCAATAACCATCCAGTAGCCATTTCCCTTTCACTGATTTACCCACCTGAACTAGAAATAAAGGAGTGAAGCCGCTCTCCACAAAACTCTATGGCAAGAGGTCTGACTTCAACATTCCAGGAGACTACATCCCCTTCATGTCGAGAAATATTCATGCTTCAGCCTTTGGTGTTTACATTTCACAACTTATCGAGCATGCTCTTTCCACCAAGATTTCAAGGACGGCTTTTGCTCAGAAGTTGTTTGATCAAGGTTACGACAAGGCCCCAAACGGTTTTATGGTAGTTACTAGTATGTGGAGGACATTTCCAAATTTGACGCATCAGTGACAAAAATGATGTCTGATTTTGACGTGAACCTGATGTTTCCATTTTGTTAAGGTGAACAGTTAACTTGCCTTTGCATGTGTTTCTGCCGTGTGCCACCTGTGGATCAAGATACGCTCACCTTTTCTCGAACACCTTGTATCATCACTATTTGACAATGATTCATAAAGACGTGCTCATGATAAAGTCTGAATCGTACCTGGTTTTGACAGATATTTCTCATGAATAGGGAAAGGGTTTTGTCGTTTTTATTCAAAGATAGATACCATTGTATGCTTCCGACTATATCATGATATCAAAAGCGACAACACCTTTTTCCATATTCATTGTACGATTCCGACAATATCATGAGCATGTGTTTATGAATCACTATCAAATAGTGAATATACCAGTCACAAAAACATGCAAAGCCAAACCAAGTATTCACGTGAAAAAACACGGGAACATATGGTGTAAGTGAAAAAGAAGAATTGCTTAAGACAGCATTTTGATCAACGATGCGTTAAAATTGGCTCCACATGTCCACCATAAAACGTTTTGGAAGCCTTACTGAGGCCATCCCAAGACGGATGATGCTGTGCTTCAGTTGAAAGTAACGCCAACCCAGATTATACGTATCCACTACCATATCGTTGGTGTTGTGCTATTGTACACTGCTTGTAGCTATTTGTAAGTCCTAAGATTTGTTTATGTATCGATGCAGTCTCTTGTTTAATTCAACAATATTAAACCGCGAATTATTTATTGCAGGTTTCATTAAATGCGACGATGATATGAACTGTTCCTGATACTCTTCTATTTGTTCCAAATCCTAAAAATACTGTTGACACGCTTGTGAGGTGAGGTGAGGTGAGGTGAGGTGAGGTGAGGTGACTTGAGGTGAGGTGGGGTTTGACGTCGCGTTCAAGATTATTGCACTTATGCAGTGACGCACATGCACGTGTGTGTGTGTGTGTGTGTGCGTGCGTGCGTGCGTGCGTGTGTGTGTTTGCTTGTACTCGCCCGCACTAATACTGGCCTACTGAAATACCATACCATTTAAAATGAATAAATGGATACCTCACTCAGACACAGTATATTGACTATGAGCACAATATCTTCCTTATGTGTATCACTTCTAAATGCCTTTCAAAGATGCGTTAAAATTGGCTCCACATGTCCACCATAAAACGTTTTGGAAGCCTTACTGAGGCCTTGACTATTGTTACCCTGATCACACAACTTTTGAACAAGAGTCGGGTGATGTTCTTTAAAATCCTATTGGAAAGATGAAATCATCCTTCCTCTTGCTTGTTACACAGTCTTGTGGAGATTTTTTTGGTCACTCGGAGTTTTTATGTTCAAGTTTACATATGACACAGATGAGTCGGTTTCACTTATCTCTTTTGTTTCTAGTTCATTTGGGTAAACACATATATGATCAAATTTTCCTCAATGAAACCCATTACATCATTCTGGCTGATAATTGGTGTTTCAAATACGATGTTTAAAATATTATATACTAATGGCATGGAAACACTACTTGTTTAAGTCAATATGGCTGAAATAATTAATTTCGAGACCCTCCATATGTTCGGGACTAAATAATATGTTTAAATGTGACTTGATTGGACACATTATGCGTGTTGTACAAGGCGTACCTGCACGACGAACAAAATTGTGACGACAAAGGCCCCAACTTCTCCGATGACAATTATCACAGAAAAGATGATGTACTGAAAGAAAATCATACGTTAATGACACGATCAGGTTCTGCATAGGAAATAAACCCTTCTCGTGCCTTTTTAAGAGATTGATGGACAACGAAGTATTCATGAAAAAAATGTGATTGGCATATTTGTTTTATAATCGGCAGGTAGGCGTGGTTGTAGGGTTCTTCGCAGTTATATCACAGGTAACTTGAGATCTAATTTAGAACTTTGTGTCGCATGAATAGTTTGGAGCATAATACCAATAGGATCGGTTACATATTGTCGTTCACAGTTACTCTTCCTTGGATAGTATCGTGTCAATGTATATAACCGTGACATATCTTCATTCAAAATTCATACCAATGTGTCAAAATATATCGTTATAAACCATTACCTTTGCTTGCAAATTCTTGTGACAATATTTACTCTTTACAAAAGTAATAAAGGAACCGTTCTCTTACTTACCATTCCCAGCAACCATCTGTTCCTGGCAGCAGCCCCGACACAGCCGCAGAAGCAGACAAGCAACACAAGAGCACCGAAACCAATGATGATCCAGGCACTGTTGGTCAGATAATGTCCCCCTTGATCCAATTCAACGAGGTTTAGGAGTTGAGCAGTTGGAGGGTGAACCTTCAGAAAAATCCCAAAACCTATTGTGGCCATCCCAACAGTCTGAAAACGAGTAGAATGCTGATAAACAAGGCAACGATCATATCTAATAGTGTGTCCAGTAAAATGTATAACTAATATTTTAACTCGATGAAAGTAAGGCTGAATGTTATGGGCACAGTAAGTGACCGACTATTTAATATTATAATTAAAATGGTTTTTGGCTATTTTCTTCTTCATTTGTTCTCGATTTCAAAACGTTTCCCCAAGCCCTGTGAATTATGAAGATCCAGGTTTCAACTAACCAGAGCATTTTAGCAATGTGAAAAAAAGTTCTTACCGCAAATATGACATTAAAGAAGGTGAAAAGGCAACTGAAAGTCTTCCCGCAACAGCCGTATCCCATCTTTGTTCTCTGTAGAGATAAGACTGATTTTAAGATAAGACCGAAAGTGAGTCATAAACACATGCTCATGATATAGTCAAAATCGTACAATCGACTCTGCTTTATGCAGATTGAAAACCTTAATACATGTAGTATACGTACTAACTGCAATATATTAGATGCCAGTAACAGAGTGAGTGGGTGGTAGTATTTAAGTAACATCATGTGCCAACGTGAAATTAGGAACTGAAAACAAAGATCGGCGGTGGACGTTTGCTACTTTGTTGGTTTTGTGCGCTCAAGCAGGAGTCTGAGAAGCGAGATTCGGAGGCAAGGACTGTAGGTCCTGGTACAACAAAGGGGCGCAATCTGCACAGCCAAAGGGTGCCATTTGTACCACTTACTGTGATCTCTAATATCTATTTGAAGCAGAAATAAGAAGACAATATGCAGCTGAGATTTAAAGGACCATGGGATTTTATCAAGGAAATAACGATTATGTCCCGTGGACAACTGTCTTCCCTCGCCTGGACATAGCGCTGTCAATTATTAGTACTCCTAATGGTAGCTCTGACGGGATTCGAAGCCACGACACTTGCAGTGCTTCGAATAGCTAGTCGAGATTGTGTGGCGCTACTAGTGTCCGTTCAACACGTGTTCAGTGACGTTAAAGTCAGTTAGTTTAGCTGGCCAAGACCGTACAAGGAGTTCCAATTCTTCGCAAAATCAATTGACACACGAGTTGTGTTATTCTGTTTACATTGACGCCAAATCCGCAAAGGGACCACGACTGGCCTGAAAATCTCAACGATATAATGATCACACCCCCAAGACGGATGATGCTGTGCTTCAGTTGAAAGTGACGCCAACCCAGATTATACGTATCCACTACCATATCGTTGGTGTTGTGCTATTGTACACTGCTTGTAGCTATTTGTAAGTCCTAAGATTTGTTTATGTATCGATGCAGTCTCTTGTTTAATTCAACAATATTAAACCGCGAATTATTTATTGCAGGTTTCATTAAATGCGACGATGATATGAACTGTTCCTGATACTCTTCTATTTGTTCCAAATCCTAAAAATACTGTTGACACGCTTGTGAGGTGAGGTGAGGTGAGGTGAGGTGAGGTGACTTGAGGTGAGGTGGGGTTTGACGTCGCGTTCAAGATTATTGCACTTATGCAGCGACGCACATGCACGTGTGTGTGTGTGTGTGTGTGTGCGTGCGTGCGTTTGCTTGTACTCGCCCGCACTAATACTGGCCTACTGAAATACCATACCATTTAAAATGAATAAATGGATACCTCACTCAGACACAGTATATTGACTATGAGCACAATATCTTCCTTATGTGTATCACTTCTAAATGCCTTTCAAAGACGTAGTATCTGAGATACCATCGGTACCTGTCGATAAGTTGGTGTAAGAACAGTGTATGTTTCCTCTAGTCCTGTCGTGCAAGTACTTGATCATATCATACGGTGCGACATTTACAAAAATAATTTCATGAAGAAGCCAAGGAATTGATAGGGAGGGTAGACAATAACAGTTGCAAGAGAACAGTGACAAAACATATCATTACGTATTCGATTTTAGTCTCTCTTTTTTACGAGAATGTAGATTTGTAATAATACCAGAGAAGATTACAATGAATGGCTGTTATATGGAAATAGATATTACAGTAAACTTCGGTTATATCGAACTCAAATGGACCATTAATTTTAGATCGTTATAACCGTAGTTTGTTATAAGCATATATATACAACATATGTACAGCAAATGGCCGGGACCAAACATTAAGTTTGTAATATCCGTCAGTTCGTTATAAGCGTGTTCGTTATAAACGAATCGTGATGTATTGTATATATTTATATTATACGCCATATAAAACATTGCTGCTCGTCTTGTTTGTGTAGCAGGCCACTTCATCGTATCTGCAACCCTTACGCTATTACGACAATGACGTAAAGATGATCAAGCTCGGTTGTGATCATGAGCATGTGTTTACGAATCACTATAAAAAAGGCGGAAAAAAGGGGGGTCCTCGTGAAACCCGAAACAAAACCCGAGATAAAAGTGCCGTGTGACACAGAAACTAAGCGGAAAGTTAGATTAATATTTGTGAAAACACGCTATAGTATTGCATTTCTATGTAACTTTAGCATGCACGTAGCGCCTCAACACAAAGCTTTTGCTTCAGTGCATTACGCAAATCTATATGTGTCTGTGTGGTAGTGTATACATGTACAGTAAACTACGGTTATAACGAACACGCTTATAACGAACTAACGGATATAACGAACTAACTTTTTAGTCCCGACTATATGCTGTAGTTATGCTGTATGTATGCTTATAACGAATTACGGTTATAACGAACTAAAATTAGTAAGCCCTTTCAGTTCGTTATAACCGTAGTATACATGTATATAGCGGGAGTTACGGGATTCGATCCCCGACCGTGCCATATCAAATGACTTGAAAATGATACTTGTTGTTACACTGCCTGGCGCTCGGCATTAAGGAGCTAAAACAAGGTCTGGTCGTTTCGGAGTCAGTATACTGTGTCTTAGTGGGGTATTCATGTTAAACTGCGGCATGGTATCTAAGTGGACTAGCACTATAAAATCGGCATTACTCCGGACAAGTGAAAGCAGACACACACACACACACACGCACGCACGCACGCACGCACGCACGCACGCACACACGCACACACGCACACGCACACACGCGCACACACACACAAACGCACGCACGCACGCACGCACACACACACACACAAGATAACGCAAACCAAGTCTATCTATCTCACACACACACACACACGCACGTGCATGCACGTCGCGAAATAAGTGCAATAATCTTGGAGGCGACGTTAAACCCCATTTCAACTCACCTTACCTCATCTGTGAAGCTCTCAGATACAATCACTTAAACTAACGTTATATTGGCATTACGCTCTCTTCCTTTCGTTTCACGACAAATTTGTTTCTATAAAAACTAGCATACGAAACGAGGAAATGATATTCTACTTTCGTAAATAAGGACGACTAGAACATGGCAGAGTTGCATTTAAACAACTACCAGCATCATATAGGCGTTTTTACGGTTAAAGTTGAGGCGACTTATCTAATTTTATATTCATAAGTAACAACTTACCTGTGTAATGTAGACTCCCTGCTAGAGTATGTCCAAACCCTCCGTCACGTACGCTCAAGTCGACGACACAGACTCCGGGGAGTTCTGGGTAAAACAGCTATCAGTTATACATCCCTTATCGACACTGACTCATTCGTCATTCATAGCGTCATAGTATCAACAGGAAAGTGACAAGTCGGACTTGCTGACTTATTTCCTCATATTCCCGTTGAATCGTTCAGGATAATTGTCATTTTATCAATATTCAATTTTGAAAAACACACAATAGCCAAACTATTGTTTTGTTGGACACTATATGGGTTCGGCGTGACATTTGCATGCATCAATTGCCAAATAATAACAGAAAATCTGAAATCGTGCACTTTATCGCTATTTCCTTAATGTGTTTCATACTAAAGGTCATCGAAGTGATTTATCCACGACCCTCGAAATCACACAATCACTCAAAAGTTGTTCTGTTAATACATATTCCGCAAATTTTATTTGTAGTTAAGGGACACAGCTCCCTTATAAATATATAATCCCTTCTACATATAAACCGCGGCTCTTCGCAGGTGAGTTGAGTTGAGGTGAGGTGAATTGGGGTTTAACGTAGCGTTCAAGATTGTAGCACTATATGGCGACGTGCATGCACGTGTGTGTGTGTGTGTGTGCATGCACGTGTGTGTGTGTGTGTGTGTGTGTGTGTGTGTGTGTGTGTGTGTGTGTGTGTGTGTGTGTGTGTGTGTGTGTGTGTGTGTGTGTGTGTGTGTGTGTGTGTGTGTGTGTGTGTGTGTGTGTGTGTGTGTGTGTGTGTGTGTGTGCGTGCTTGTACGAGTCCGGACTAATGCCGATGTTATAGTGCTAGCCCACTGTGATACCATGTCGCAGTTTTAACATGAGAAATCTACTCAGACACAGTATACTGACTCCGAGCTGATCAGTCCTTGTTTAGGCACCTTTGATGCTGGGCGCCAGACAGGGTAACAACAAGTACCATCTCTGAACGCCTTTTGGAATGACGTTGAAGGGGGATCGACCTTCCGCTACCCATTGTCGAGCACTTTGAACACACAATGACATTTAGAAAGTGGTCACATGTAACAAATGTTATATTTGGGATAACACTTTCTTAGTAAAGTTTCTTTACTAAAAAAGTGTTATCCCAAATATAAAATTTGTTACATTTGATTCTGCACTTTACTCAGAAAGTGTTATCCCAAATATAACATGTGTTACATTTGACCACTTTCTAAATGGCATTGTGTGTTCATATTATATTACCGTTTTATGATTCATACAGATAGATCAGTGGGTGTGTTTATTACAGATATGAGGTGATTATATATTTGTCTTTCTGCGAAAACTTGTATTATGTGTTTGTTTGGTTCATATTTATATAGTATGTGTATTTAAATGGCAATTGATAGGTTTCAATAATCTGCAAGTAGTGTTTCTCTACGTGGTGGGGAAACATTGATACATGTTAATAAACGGGTGTTTTTAGGTACGAGGATGTATAATATATGGTTATTGACACTAGACCTGTTATGTATGTGAACGGAAAATATCAATACCAGTCTGTTAAATATTTACCAAAGTTATACTTCCCGAACGAATGTTTCCTCACAAACAGTTATGCTGCAAACGTGGCTTGTCACAATTTATTGTTAGGCGTTGTCCACACACATATGATTTCTATTTTTATCATTCTCGCGTGTTCTCTGTCATACATTGCCTGTTTACTTTAACTCTTCATGTGTTTTCGCCGTAACTGATGTGTGTACACATGATCTCTTCATGTGTTGAGTTGCAGCTGCCGACTGTCTCTTCATGTGTTGAGCTGTAACTGATGTATGTACACATGATCTCTTCGTGTGTTGAGCTGTAACTGATGTATGTACACATGATCTCTTCATGTGTTGAGTTGCAGCTGGCGACTGTCTCTTCATGTGCTGAGCTGTAACTGAAATAATGTACACATGATCTCTTAAAGTGTTGAGTTGCAGCTGCCGACTGTCTCTTCATGTGTTCAGTTGCAGCTGCTGACTGTCTCTTCATGCGTTGAGCTGTAACTGAAGTATGTACACATGATCTCTACATGTGTTGAGTTGCAGCTGGCGACTGTCTCTTTATGCGTTGAGCTGTAACTGATGTATGTACACATGATCTCTACATGTGTTGAGTTGCAGCTGCTGACTGTCTCTTCATGCGTTGAGCTGTAACTGAAGTATGTACACATGATCTCTACATGTGTTGAGTTGCAGCTGGCGACTGTCTCTTCATGCGTTGAGCTGTAACTGATGTATGTACACATGACCTCTACATGTGTTGAGTTGCAGCTGCTGACTGTCTCTTCATGCGTTGAGCTGTAACTGATGTATGTACACATGATCTATTCATGTGTTGAGTTGCAGCTGCCGACTGTCACTTCGTGTGCTTAGCTGTAACTGATGTATGTACACATGATCTCTTCATGTGATGAGTTGCAGCTGCCGACTGTCACTTCTCGTGTTGAGCTGTAACTGATGTATGTACACATGATCTCTTTATATTATGAATTGCAGCTGCCGACTGTCTCTTCGTGTGCTGAGCTGTAACTGATGTATGTACACATGATCTCTTCGTGTGTTGAGCTGTAACTGATGTATGTACACATGATCTCTTCATGTGATGAGTTGCAGCTGCCGACTGTTGCAGCTGATAAATACTACATGATGTGTAAATGTCTTGGGGCGCATATGATGTATGTGCACACGATGTTTTGAGCTACATCTACTCTCATTCTGCATTTAATTTGGCTTTTATATACAAATACGCATGCACCGATTTCCATTACAACCTGAGAGATGAACATTTAATATGTCACACGTTTTTGTCACTTTGCAAACATAAACAAATGCCTAAGGAAACTAACATTCCAAAATAATGTCTTTTTGGTATAAACTTTATATAATGTGTTGCCTAACTGTTCTCCCACTGTATACAAGACATGTTTGTTGTGTCTACTTTACATCTGACTTTGAATGCGAACATCTAATATAACCATTGATTGCGAGAACTATGCCTTCAGTACATATATGGCCAAGTTCCAGAACATTGCATGTTGGGAACATTAGCACGTACAGAGTTACCCCCCTTAGCATGTTCGACGCGATTGTGTCTGCGTCTGCTCCCAAATGATTCCTCATGTTTTTGCTGTTGTTTATTATATGGTTAAAGGCTCTCTTGGTTGATTTGACTAATGTATTCCGGCTAAATTAAATTTATTTCTGAAAATGTAATTAAACGTACTACAGTGCTTTGTAAAACAGAGAACTAAGTTATATGCCAAGTTAATCTTCACGTGTAACACAACAAATGACATGTGATGTTTCAGGAGAACACTTATCGAAACAAGACTGGTAAAAGTGACTGTGATAAATATACACTTTGTAAAGACACTGATGAAACATTAGAATATATTTTCTTCGATTGCACCCGTGTACAAACAATGAATAACCACTTTAACAGTTGGAATGAACAAAATCAATTAAAAATGTATAATTAAGATATAATAGGTATGGAATTATTAACACGTATAGATATAACTGTCGACATAACGAAGGCGTCTTAGTCTCTCAACAATCGTTGAACGTCAACATTTCTATTAAATAACTGAAAAAATAGGTAGAATAATCAGATGTTTCAGGAGAGTATAAGAAAATAATGCTCAGACGAGTCAGCTCTGGTGTTCTGTTGAGCAGAATTATGTTTTTTATACTTAAACAAACGAAAGTTATAGGTAACAGTATTTACCGACTTAATGCACGTGAGACGTTTACAGCGTTGGTGAGACGTTGACAAACCAAGGGTCATAATCAGGACGAATACATGATAGTATCCTGGCATGCTTAAGGGACACAACTTAGCACAGAGAATTCCGGCGCCTTAGACGATGAGCCTACGACCACCATCCCCTCTCGTGTCTCCAGTAAATGGTCACTTGATAATGTATATCCTGGATGACGTACAGTCGGGCCACTCAAGCAAGTTGATGTGTGTCCTATTCACCCGTCACCATAACGCTATGGTTTGTTCCCCACCTTCCAGAACGTCACAACATGGACATCGTGTAAGAAATATACTTTATTTTCCAATATTAAAAGACTATATACACAAGTATTGTATAAACGGTACATAAATGTTTTATAGAGAGAGTGAGACTAACAATGTGCCCATAGCCATGTTTGACCAAACGTCTGTGGAACGAAATTATTTGCATAGCAAAGATATGAGATTGAAGATCTTTTCAGAAATATTGTCTGGCAATTTGCAATTATACAGCGCAGAAAGTAACGGATTCTGAAGATTCATGTATGTTCAAATATTATTCATACCACAACAATTAACGTTGAAATTATTTCGAAATATACACAAACTTTTTAAATACAATATAGGAACAATGAACTGAGCAAGCCGTCTTTATACAATAAAATCCACTGGAACTATTTTTTCATGAGTATTGTATAAGCTACATAAGGTAATGTCAAATGTACTTAAAACACATAATAATTTACATTTTTTAGAAATATTTGAACATTCAAGTGGATTAGACACGGACAAAAACATTTTTTCAAATGTATCGATAACATAATTCATGCAGCTGATTATGAGTAACACAAGGAATACCAACGAATTAAATAAAGACATGAAACGACGTGTACAAATACATGGATGCCTGTGAGAAGATATGGTTCTGCGGGAAATGTCTTCACTTGATTCACGAATTATTGTACAAGTGGAAAGTAACAGTTGAACATCAATGTATTGGTTAATTCACAAAAATACCATCCAAATTGTTTTCATCACTTATCAGACGTCATTATTTTGATACCGTGACTGTTGTTTATGAACAGAAATTGATTTCTGTCTACAACTCGATACAAATAGCATTGGTTGAAGTTATCTGGCAGCCAAATCCATGCTCTCGAAGAGAATATGTGTACAACGAGATATGAAAGAAATGTACGCATCTGAGATGTATCTAAATACTCACAGCCATGTCCATTGTACAATTTTATTTCAAGGAAAGACCTGAGTTTAGGAATGTTGTGGGATTATATTTATCAAAGCGCAACCAGCTGCAGGTGAAATTGCATTTTCCTATAACTATAACTAATTTCGTAGCGTTCTATATGTTTCGATTCATGTGTCGTTTAAATACAACACCCCTCATTCAATTAAAATCTGTCACTTCTTGTTCAGACTCTTGTGAACCAGCCATCGAGATATTTGGATACAGGACCAACATTAAAGAAGCTTGCGACATGTCCCTTACCTAACTCTTGATGAGAAGCGTTTAGATAGTTTAATTACATAATAAGTGTATGCTCTCTACGGAACAACGTCGTGACGAAACTCCGAAAGTGACGTGAAGAGATCATACTTTTTCTTTACCTCTTCGGCACAGACACGCAGCAATAATGATCCCAATTATCTGAAAAAGATATAGAGGTTTTTTTTATTTAGCATACTTGCATTCAATTCGTTATTCCGCCCCGTCGTCTAAGGCGCAGCAATTCGCTGTGCAGAGGTATGTCCCTCGGTGAAGCCAGAAGCCTATGATCGTGTGTTCGAATCCCGGTTCGCCAAAATTATGTTTCTAGGTTTGTCAGCACCATACCCATGCTCGTGAGTTTCACCAAAGTGGCAAACGTCTGAGGCCTGCATTACTCTGGGCTCTCCTCCGACATCAAGCTGAAACGCCCTGATATAAGTTGAATTCTGTTCAAAGCGGCGTTAAAACCCAACTCACTCATTCACTATCCCGACAAAAATATTAACCTCGACAATTATCTTGATTTGACGTCTATATAGACAGGTTATATCGATATAACTGCTTACTGTGATGGCAATGATGACTGCCTCAACAATGAGAAGCACAGTGCTGTACTGCTTCACCGTATCCCTCAGCAACTGGAAGCAGCCCTGTAAGAAGAACCGTTATATTAGTATCAACACCGACACAACCAACACGTGACATCACTGTACACATGCAGATCAGACGCCGCAATTCACTGTGACTCGGGTCAGTTAGATGCGCCAGAAACCTGTGACCATGGATTTCAACCCAGATTCGCCCTGGTCGGGATGCTAGCTTTGTCAGCACCATCCCAGTGCTCATGCGCTGCATCAAAGTGGTAAACGGCTGAGACATGCATCACTTAGATTTGCCTTCCACTTGATGCAGGCTCTCCGTGATATAACCGTCAAAGAGTGTTTCATATTTAATATCACTTTATATTTGTTAGCATGTGCCTGAATACCATACACTTTGCCATGAGCAGATGTTTGTATGTGGAAGTCGTGTACAGCATCCATTGCCATCGATGCATGAGTTTTTCTTTTTTTCTTTGTTGTTTAAAGCCGCACTCAGCAATACTCCAGCTATACGACGTCAGTCCGAGTCTGGACCAGACAATCCAGTGATTGACATCATGAGCACCGATCCACGCAATTGGGATACGATGACATGCATCAACCAAGTCAGCGAGCCTGATCACCCGATCCCGTTACGTCGCCTTTTACGACAAGCATAGTCGCCTTTTACGGCAAGCATGGGTTGCTGAAGACCTATTGTACCCCGTGCCTGTATATATGTGCATATGTATGTGGGATTGACATAGGCTCTTTCGCTCATGTGGTATTACATGTCCCACATACATTGTGCATGTACATATGTGTATAGTCGTTAGCACAAACGTGATTACGTAATATGCAACAAATGTGTCTTCATATGTAATACGTATGTCATGCGTGCATGTAACAAGAGTGTAAGTAGATTGCTGAATAGTAAGGATATGTGATTATTAGAAAACCCTTACCCTTGTGTGCAGAAAATCACTCTTTTCCAGGTCGGATTTTCTAGAGTCGTCCATGCATTTTGTTCTGCTCACTGGCATAGGATCATCGGGTTCCTTCGCTCCTGACAGCTTACAGCATGTAACTGGTACTTTCTCCTGAACAAATGTATTAGACAAATAATGTACAACATTTGTCGTATCGTGTCACATATCTGAATATTAATTTCGTTTCACTTTTGTGCCTTATTTACACATGACGTCATTATGATTATGTGAAGCAAGATGTTGCGCTGTCATCAAGGAATGCTTGTTGGCTTGTTTCTCCCTTTACTGTCTACAACCGAGTACGATCTTTTAACAAAGTGTTTTTATCTCAAGGTGATACTCTTTACGTCAAGCCCAATTTACTATGTATTAGGTTTCCTGGACATGCCATAGTATAATCTATACAAAATAGAAAATAAATACATGTATGTATATCCGTCACGCCTTCAGTGGATATGAACCTCACTTATTCTGATTACATGTGCTCTGTATTTAGTCTTCGCTTAGATTCTGATCAGTGATTACAATTCATTAAGTTGTGATCTGCAGTTGCGGTGTGCCGGATGCGACCAGTGAGGCAGGATACACCTGGTATATCAATACAATTTGATATTGATTATTCTATATAATCTGAATCGTACAAGGGACGAATCGTAACGTGTTCATTGTTCGAAACTGCAAATAACAATGGATGAGTTGAGGTGAGTTAAAATTGGGTTTAACGCTGTGTCCAAGATTATTGCACTTATACAGCGACGTGCATGCACGTGTGTGTGTGATTGTGTTTGTGGCTCCTTGTACTTGTCCGGACTTATGCCGATTTATAGTGCTAGCCCACTGAGATACCATGCCACAGTTTAAAATGAATACCCCACTCAGACACAGTATACGGATTCCGAGCCGACCGGTCCTTGTTTTAGCCCCTTAATGCCGAGCACCAGACAGGGTCCCAACAAGTACCATTTTTTAGCGTCTTTCGGTATGACGCGGCCTGGGATCGAACCCTGGGTGCACGCTCGAACACTAGACTACGGAGGCGGTCGCAAATTACAATAGCTGTGTCGTGAAACATTCGCCAGCATGACCACCCGAGACTTACCATGGTATTATTCGCGTAGACTGGTGCATAGTTGGAGTAGTTGGAAACAGCGCAGCACTCGAACTGTGAAGACAAAGGTACGGACTGTGAATACAGGTTTACAAACATCCTGGCAGTTCACGAAATATGTCGATGGAAAAGTAGATAGTTTACAGTAGAATGTTCATTAAACGAAAATGTCTTCATGGTGCAGATTTGTAACATTATAATAACATGTAAATATACATGGTTTGTATGAAAATAGTTAAAAAGCGATACGATAATAGGTCTTTTTTAATAGTAATTGTTAAATGTTTAACATCAGTATGAAATCAGCTTCTCGGCGAGTTCTACAAATTACTTCTCATGATTATGATTTGAACATGATATGTGACCCACGGTCACATATCGGACTATTCCAGAAAATGTCCCTGACTGCTGAGGATGATCTCACCGTTGCCTGAACGTAATCCCAAGGTTGTGTGAACTTGGTCCTTCCGGGTCGGTAGTTATCAGCCAGAGTCTTCGCAATAGTGTTTTGGAAAGAGTCGACGTCATCAGACTGAGGGAAAAGACGTATTAATCCTGAGTCAACTTTTAGGCCATGCCTTTTGCAAAAAATCGACTGCATTGTACCTGAATAACTGTCAGATGCAGCGAGACGGGTTTTAAATACATTACTGTAAGATGAGTGAGTGAGTTTGTTTTTAGGCCCCCTTAGCAATATCCCTGCAATATCACGGCGGAGGACACCAGAAATGACCTTCACACATTGTACCCATGTGGAGAATTGAACCCGGGTCTTCGGCGTTACGAGCGAACGTTTTAACCACAAGTCAACCACACCTCCGCCATTCCTTTAGGGATGTTCCCCACGGTGGATATGATGGAGAGGCAAGACTAGGCCATGTGTCTGAAAACAACTGCTGGAGCTGGTGAATAGATATTACTTATTGTAAACATTATGTATATATAACATCTTCTGTTTTGAAAATCCTTATATTCTGCGTTTTGAAAACGCATTGTAAAAGTCATCGATAATTTTACATTTGAAATCTGTATATACCTTCAACTCAACTGAATATCTCTTGACTCGGAATGTGTATGTGTCATATAATAGATTACACGTACCCGTACAACGAACAAGATTGTGACAACAAATGCTCCTATTTCTCCGATGACGATGATCACGGCAAAGATGATGTACTGAAACATAAAATATACAAGGTCAACGCCAGAGAATAATCAGTCTCGATTATCCGCCGAAACAGAAAAATATACAAATTGATCACTGAAAATCAGCGATCACACCAGACATAGTCATGAAACAAGCGATTGCAAATTAAAGTGACTGAGCAAACCTTCCATTTGGCCTAAAAGATAAAATAGAGGTGAAAATATATGAATGGATCACTGAAAATCAGCGATGACACCAGACATACTGTTATCATGAAACAAGCGATTGCAAATTAAAGTGACTGAGCAAACCATCCATTGGGCCTAAAAGATAAAATAGAGGTGAAAATATATGAATGGATCACTGAAAATCAGCGATGACACCAGACATACTGTTATCATAGAAATTAATAAGCGATTGCAAATTAAAGTTACTGAGCAAACCACATAGCCCGACCCAGCTCGTCATGGTAGAGTTAATATTTGACGTGGCAAGCCAAGGCTTCATTACGTCCCATAAGTAAAGATGTACTTACATATCACAGACTCATGTAATCGTGTGTAACATTTAACTGTGTAAATGCATTCAAATCTCGAATATGGGAACACAATGCGCAATATATATATTTTTTATACTTTCTTAGTGACTTTTGTGTACAAGAAATGTTATTTGTTCGTACCAGCCCCAGCATGCACTTGTTCTTGGCAGCAGCTCCGACACAGCCACAGAAGCAGACCAGCAACACAAGGGCACCGAAGCCAATGATGATCCATGCGCTGTTGGCGAGATACACCGATGAATTGCCCAATTCCACTAGGTTTAGTAGTTGGGCAGTTGAAGGGTGTACCTTGAGAAAAATCCCAAACCCTACTGTGGCTAAGCCGACAATCTGTAGAAAATAATAAAAAAACATTCACTTTGCGATCTTGCTGAGGCGTATACAGCATGTAGAGGAAAATACAGATTCAAGAGTGTGTGAGTATGGTCTTACGACGCAATTAGCAATGTTCCAGCAATAGCATGGCGTGAGACACCACACATAAGCTTCACACATTGTGCCATATGGGGAATAGAACTCGGGTCTTCGGCGTGATGATTGAAAACACTTTATAACCACTCTAACGCACCAGAAGTTAAGAAACACTCGGTGCAGTGTCATTGAAATCATAAGAGTGATACGCCTGATATGCGCGTATTTCTTCGATTTTAAAGAGTTTACTATCAAGAAAGTTATACAATTAATATATAATAAGAAAACGGTGCCTCGGAGATCTGAGAACGAGAGTAGCTGTTAACGTAATCATACTGAACAAAAGATGTTAGGGATCCTATATATTTTTGGGGATATGTTTTTTGTGGAAATGGCCGAGCACACAATTTCTTAAAAATATGCCAAAGATATTTCATGATCTACAGTTCACTGTAGTTTGATAACATTGCATATGTTATAAATAATTATGATATTAATGTGCCTGTCATGCCAATCCGTATTTGAACACATCTCCACAAGGAAGTGGATTTATCTGAACTTACCGCAAAGATGACATTGAAGAAGATGAAGAGACAACTGAAGGTCTTCCCACAGCAGCCGAACGCCATTTTAGTGTGCTGTAACCAAGACAAAACTGTAAATAGCACAGTGTTTATTGCTATCGATAACGTAGAATCTTCAAACGGTGACGAAGTTATGTTAGATATAATACACGTAGCAGAAAACTCATGAGCATCAGTAATAGACGTAGGAGTAGAAGTGTAGTGGTAACAGAGGTCGAGGCAGGAGTTTTAACGACCACCTACGACGATCTTACTTATATGTTGTTGTTTGTATTGATTTATGCATATCAAATATCCACACATAAATATTTCTTTCACCCACTGTTTTCTCTGCAACAACTATAAAGTCTGTAATTAATACTCTGTGAAATCTTAAATTCATATACGTTAGAAACCCCAAAGAAAAATAATGTTTGGAGTTCAATATTGAAGAAAAACGTATGTATTTGTGATGTAGACCTCTTAGCGTATGAACAGACAAAGACACACTGTTAGTCATTGTACTTCTTGTAATGAATGACAAGCACAACAGAGGTGATAGGGAGCTGGGAGTGAAATACCTGAGTAACATAGCTTTTGCGCTGTCCGTATGAGTTCCTCCATAGCCTATTTAGATCGGATTTGTCAATCTGCACTCGAAATACCCCCTTCACAATGATCCACGATAGTTTAAGAACCTATTAGTGTCACATTTAATAAAAATAGAGAGCATGTCGTGGTGTTTGTTCGTTCAAATATCGTCTTTTGTTGACGGATTTTACGATAAATATCACTCTTGTGCTCACTGAAGCAACTGGTTGCTACAGCAACGCCCCACTGGCTCTGCTATTTGGACCTAAGGACCACTTAAGAACATACAATCATATAACCAAATTATCGCCTACGCCCAAGACCTGGAATGCTTATTCGGCTGAAAATTTGTGACCAGGGGTTTGCAAGTTATAAGCATAACACGTAGTTGTTTCGTAAAACGTGAAATGTTCAGGTTCTATAATTGCTCAGGATTGGATCCCTTTTGGCTCACTGGAAGTTTTATAGTTACCTTATAATAATAATTGTACGGTTGACGACCAGCCTTTTCTCTTTCTTACACTATCTACTGACATGGTCAACTATATTTGCCATATTCACAATAGCGTCATTGGGAAACCCCCAGATTATTTTACCTCAGTGACAAAAGAACTCATCGCCTTTGCTAAGATTTGTGTCATAAGTAAGATAACTTTGGGATAGGTTTTGACAGCTTAAAGAATAGACCCTATGGTGATGGCAGTCGTTATTTTAGTCGTAAGTTACAAATATTCATCTTTGCGAAGACAGCTCCGTCAATAGGCCGTCTAGTAACTTAAACATACGATAAGGTCATTCCTATTTGTATTGACTGTACAGCAGATTTCACTTCCTCGTCGCAGAGAGGAAAACACTTCAAATAGATACTACATCACATACATACACATATTTCACTTCATGCATGCATAGTAGACGTATCGATTACACCTGTTAACAAACAATGAACGGAATAGACAAATACCTCCTTGGAGTCACAACATCTATTGTTAAGTTACAGAGCACTTGCACCCATTCACACCCGGTGTCAACGCACTCACTATATGGTGACTTCTTGTGAACTTCTGAATGCTTGGCATTGTTTCACGAAACAATGTGTCCGTGGACAGTTAGTGGCGAAACTCTTTGGAGACCAAATGACTATACGTATCCGTAGAGGGTACATAAGAGAGTTAAGGTATAAATAAACACAATTCAAACACCCAGTCCTCAAAGGTCGGTAGCCAATGCTATGTTTAAATTTGATTCACATGATAATACTATTAAACCCCCTTCACCAGTGTTACGTATGGTTGTATTTTCTCAAACGTTTTGTTTTGTATAGCTTTATAAACCATAGGTGGTGAAATGGGGTTTAACGTCGCGTCCAAGATTATTGCACTTATATAGCGACGTGCATGTACGTGTGTGTGTTTGTGTGGCTGCTTGTACTTGTCCGGACTTATGCCAATTTATAGTGCTGGCCCACTGAGATACCATGCCGCAGTTTAACATGAATATCCCACTCAGACACAGTATACTGACTCCGAGCCGACCAGTCCTTGTTTTAGCCCCTTAATGCCGAGCACCAGACAGGGTAACAACAAAAAACATCTTTTGACGTCTTTTGGTATGACGCGGCCTGGGATCGAACCCCGGGCGGACGCTCTACCACTAGACCACGGAGGCGGTCTTATAAACCATGAACATATGTGTGACTTAGTCTTTATTATCTTTTCGAAGTAAAGTTTCGTGAAGAAAGATTGAGGATGTGGGGATCTGAACATGTGCCAGTGACATGAGAAAATGTAGACAATTTGTGAAATAGCATCTATTTCTATAATCATAATAATAAAAGTGTCAAAATCTGGAGCTGCTGAAATATTACTCGACATCAAGGAGAAGGTGACTATTGAAAAGCTGATGTCATCCGTCTTGTCATACAATCGTGCGGAATTCACTCTCAATCTTAATGTACATATCTAAGTTTGAAACAGATAAGGCTGTTTCACAGTTCTCTTTTATCTCTAGTTCGGGTGGGTAAATCAGTGGAACGGAATTGGATCGTTGATATTTTGTATCGCCTAAATCTTTTTGCAATCTTATCGATATACCCGAAGCTTCAGTTAAACATCCTGACTAAACTCTCTTGTTCTGGTTTTGTCAATCCGATCAGTAATTCCAGCGCATGTGTATAAAGAGATCAACAAGAAGGACAGCAGAATTAGTGCCCATAGAGATGCATCAGTCATGCTTCAAAATAACGCCTTGAATATATCAATGCAACAACTATGTTGACTTCCGACACCCCTCCAGCCTGTACATATGTAGGTTTACACTGTGTATTACATTTGCAATGCACATGTAACCAGGTGATAAAAACATCCACCATACATAAATACAGTGGTCGGTATTGATTTCAAGACAATTATTTGCTGTACATGGTAGGTATATTCAAAC